GGAATTTTTTTTAAATTACTATGTTCCCCGACAGAGCAAGCCCGTCGGGGGAGAGCAGCAACATGCAGACGAGCAGCAGAAGAAGCTTGAGGTTGAGGATGAGCTTGAGTTCCAGGCCCGCCTGGAGCTCCAGGTTCAGGCGCTCGAGACCCAGGCGCGCGTAGGTCATGTGCGGCGCGGGCGCAGGCCATGGGCGGCGGGAGGGATCGCAGCGCAGCCCTGGGCGGCGGGAGGGGATAGCGACGCAGCCCTGGGCGGTGGGAAGGATCACGGCGGGAGAGGATGGCGGCGGAGTACCGCCCTTCAACAGTGGAGCCGCCGCCCGTCGAGGTGGTCCCCGCGGAGGAGCAGGTGGACGGCGCGGCGCAGGTGGGCAGGGGCGGCGGTGGTTCACAGCGGTGGCACAGGCCCTGGCCGTGGTCACGCGCTCGGCCCTATGGTGGGTGCCGACGGTGGCGCAGGCGACCACATTGCACGCCGGTGACGGAGAAAGAAGGAAGAAGCGGCGGGGTCTGATTAGCAAAAGATGTGAAGCTAGAAGGGGTTTTCTGTAAAATTATAAATGAACTAAGTAGAGGACAACTTTTCCCGGACGGAGGGAGTATGTGTACCAGGGTACCCAAGGAGGCAAGGAGACACGCCCGGAGTAAATCTAGCTACGCACAAGATCACGGGCCGAGATGACCAAAAACAAGTAGTATGCACTCTCACTAAGTGAATCAACAAACTTTATTTTTTTTTTCGTTGGTCGGTTATAGCCCCAGGCGTGGCCACAAAGTACAATACATTGAGTAGAAAATTTTGTTCAACTAATGTTTGCAATCATGCACTTTGTTCAACTAATTGTTTTACTGAATTTTCTCTTGTGGTAATAATGAATTCATATTTTATTTTTAATGTGAATTTGTGGCATACTTCTAACACACATTGGTATGCATGGTATTTGATGTTATTTTTAGCCACTTAGTTTTAGCCCTAGGCTTTGAGAAATCCTGGCTCCTCCTCTGTCTCAACCGACATAACAGTATCGAGAATATCATTCGTTGATTTGCTTGCTTTAGACAGACGCCAATCATGATGAAAATAGCTCCCTCCCTCCCTGTACCGAACTAATCTGTCCCTCTAGTTAGTTCTTCCATTTGACCATAGGACATATGTGCAAATACGGCACCTCAAAAAGACATTTCAGTTGAGAAGCAATCTGTGGTTGGATGGTTTGACACCGTTGCTTGCATTTTTTGGGATTTATTTCAGGTTTTTCGGCAATGTGTTTTTAGTGGGAGGAGAATTCCCCGTCGACTTCAGAGGCGTTTGTGACGACTTCGTCAATCTCAAAATAATGTGCCGGCTCAGTCTCTTGAAGGTGCTCGTAGGGGTAGGGTGTATGTGCGTGCATTCATATGGGTGAGTATATGTGTGTATGTATGAGTGTCTATGTCTGTACTGTATTAAAAAAAGACATTTTGATTCAAAATAAGATAGCAAAAGTGGTGAGAACTTTATTATGTGACTGCTTTCAAAGCAAAGCTAGGTCGCAATGCCGGAACCCATGTGCATTTCCTCTAAACGTAACGAGACGGGGCAAACTGTAAATTGACTTACTTTCCTTGCTCTATGCTTTTGGTTGTAATATGGCAGGGTTAGAATCTGTTTGGTATACAGCCCGGGGTGCCAAGCCAAAAAATTGGCATTGACCCAGCTTTGTATGTCCCCTGCCGCCGCCACACCCTCGTGCTCCCCTCCTACACCTTCTACCATCCCTTCGCCGCCCCTGCTATTGCAGTCCCCCCTTCCCCTGCTGCTCCTCGTCAAAATTTGGTTAAACTAGTTGAAATGCATGGAACCGTTGATCCGAATTTGATAAAACTTTCCCAGATTTTTCACACATATATGAATGGTTTTCTGTAATTTTTGAAATTTATTTGACAACTTTCAAAATTCAGTCAAAATTTGGTCAAACTAGTTAGGCTCAAGTTGAAATGCATGGGACCGTTGATCCACAATCGATGAAACTTTCCTAGATTAGCACTTATATGTTTGTTTCTATGGATTTTTTTTCAAAAATTTGTAGGTGGTTTGTAAAAAGTTTCCAAAAATTTGGCCGAATTTGGATAACATCTTGACTGTTTTTTGGCTTTTCAAGAAATTTATGCACATAATATCCAAATTCAACCGTATCTTTCCATATGGACATATTCATACACCATGACACGATATGATGACAGCATAGCAAAATAATGCATTTAAGATGTTCATACATCATATTCATATCTCATCTACCACAAGGCAATAGTTGTTGTCATGTTACAACTAAAACCATAAGCAGTAGTTGCTGCCATGTCACATCCAAAGTAAAGGGTGCTAAGGGCTTGTTCGTATGTTTGGGTCAAAGAGGTACAAGGGTATAATAATCATCTATGTTGTTCACTTCAAAAGTTTATTTGTGTTCAAAAGTGGTAAAAGATCAAATGTCAAATAAAAGAAAAAAGGGTATCACAAGATGAATTACAAAATAGGGGATCTCAAAGTCCAAACAAAGTTGTGCCAATTAATAAACCAAACCCCCAACCATCCTCCTCCTCCCACTCCACGCGACGGCATCGCGCTCTCCTCCTCGACCTGAGAGCGCAGCCAACGCATTCTCCTCCTCCCGGCGCCGGAGCGCTCCTGCAGCCACGCCTAAAGTCGGTCGAAAGCATTTTTGAGCTCGGGGTGAGATAAAATAATTGTTTTTTATACTAAAATTTTATATTTATTTTAAATTAAGTGCACCATATTAAAGTTCTAATTAATATGTTTTTCTATTACTTAGCCACATAAGAATGTTTTCAAATAATAGTTATATTATTAATTGGTATAGGTTGTAATGTATATCATTCAAATTTTAATTCTACAAAATGAAAATTTTATGATGTACCAATTTTTTCATTGTTAAAACAATATTTCAAAATTATTTTGTAATATTGCATAAAAGATGTAGTGTATACACATTTGCATATCTATGTGTGTGTTCATATATCTTCTAATAGTAATGAATATTATGGTAGACATTTCTAAATTATATACACATTGACAAATATTTTAATAGTGGTTTCTAGTGTATATTAGGCAATCATATTCATGGAAACTTCTATGGCATAGAATGTGACTTGCAAATTGGGTTCAGTAGTAGAATCGTCGAAGAACCAAAAATGTTTTTAATTGTACTTTTACGTACAATTAGATTATCTAACATGTTCGTCTAGATTCACTTGGTTTAATTTGGTGCAAATAAGATGTCCTACACATTTATCAAATTAAAAATTCTGCATTGGTTTAAACGTTGAAATCTAGTTATCATAATTTTCATTATGATACTACACATTCATCGTAAAGAGAGACTAGTGTATTTGAACTCAACTTCGCCAGTCGGATTGGTTTGTCTATGTGTGGTATAACTTATTAGTATGTGGTGTGAACTTACGCTTCTGTAAAGAAAAATTGAAAAGGAGGTTAAATCCCCGGCCTCTGCATCAATTGATGCATGCAACCATCTTTATTAATTATTCCACAAAGGTCTGACAAGAATATACATCAATTCACCCGAAGCCACCACTCACACCTACAAACTTGATAATATGGAGTGCTCTCATTCCCCATATCTAAAACCGGTGTTGTCGCCGATCCATCGACATAACATATCGGGACCAACAGCCGGTGCAGCCTACCTAAAGCGCACACCACATGCATACGTTTTAGAAGCCGCCATCATCATCGGACCACTGACCCATCTTTAGGAGAGAGATCTGCATCATCCTTGCCATACTAGACATGCGTCGACGCCACCACGGCGCCCAACGGTGCCACCGCCCTACACTCGTTCGTCCAGACGCGAAGACTCTGGAAGATCTATCGTGCGTAGCACCTGCCAACCAGGCATGACTCGGCGTAGCACCTGTCGGTCATGCATGACTTGACAGCTCCATCGAAGCTCCGTGCAAGAAGAAGCCGCTCCACCTCCTGCCTCTCTTTTCCAGCGCTGCTCCAATCTGACTTCTCTTATGGAATTTCAAGTTTATGCTTCCTCCTGCTTTGCATGAAAAAGAGGTCAAAAAGTCTGTCGATTGGGCGGGTTAATTTTCTTTTATCTTCTCGTCAACCATCGAGGCGACATGAGAGCCCAAGAGAGAAAGGGGCTATTCGAAATAAAGAAGAATCCTTTCTCGACACAAACGATGCTCTCAAGAGAGAAACGACACCGTAGTACCGCCGTCGTCCGATCTGGAAGATCAGATCCTAGGGTTTCTCCCGAGGCAGCACGAGTGGGTCAACAACAGTTACACGACGATGCCTTCATCAAGGCAACCACGCAAAACGCCGCCATCGCCCGCCAACGGCTCGATTTTCACCGGCAATTATGTCTCCCCGGCTCGTAGCTGGGACTAGATGACGAATCTCGAGATCCGACCACCCAGCCGCAGGCTGGCCACCTCTGACGGAAGAGATGACCACCACCGTTGGCTGCACCGGTCAGAACAAATCTAACCGGATGTGTCGCTGACATGACCACCAGCTGCAAATTGAGGCTCTATTTTATCTGTTTAATAATCTTTCAGATGTATAATCTATACTTGTATAGTGGCTCTCCCCTCTTGGGCCCGCGGCGGTCGCCCCTTTTGCCCAGCCTATGGCTGGCCCTGGATTTGGTACTTGCATCTATATGCTTTCATGTATAGAAATGTTGCTTGATGCAAGCAGAGATAGATGTTTCAGTTGCACTGAATTTGTTTCATTTCAGATGCATATAAATTAAAGAAAAACGGCGGAAACACGATGTAGAAACATTATTTTATCACATTAATTACAATGAGAAACATTTCGACACATGCACATGTCTAATCACATTTATCTAAATTCCTCTTTAGCTTTTCACCGAAGAAAAACGGCTCGGCATGGCGCGCGTTTGCATCTAGCCAGAAAGGAAATGTGCCCGGTGTATAATGTCAAGGGAGGTAAGGATGTTATCTCCCGGACATGAGGTTCACCAAGCCCGGGTTTTTCATATCCCAGAACTCGCTCATGGAAGAGAGCGTCATCAGCGCGACAACCACGGACCTCATCGTGGGCCTCAGCTTGGGGTCCTCCCCTGTGCATGCGTTCGCCAAGTGCATCATCTACATGCAGAAGGCAACATATTTTTATCCAATCGAACAACGTAAGCAAGGGCCAGAGCATGTTTTTTCTAACCATTAGAATGGCGTCCATGGGATAGTCGTCTCCCAGCTTCGGATCAATCAGCTTCTGTAGGCCTTCTTTCTTATCCAGTGCAGTGAGGGCCTCCTCAAACTACAAGAATCAGTATGGTAAAAAGTCATCAAAGAGCCAAAGAAAAACTTCAGCAAGGAAGCAAAAGCGGCCAGCCTAGTGGTTTTATGAAGCGCCGAGAGCAGAAAGTATCGTTACATAGCTTGAAAAATGATCTTATATTATGGGACGGAGGAAGTAGCTTAGAAGCACAATTACCAGATAAACCAGTCCCCTTGAACCACTAGCAGATCCATCAGTTGATCGGACGATGGCATCTTTGGCTGAGATAAGTTCGTACAAGACAACACCAAAGGCATACACATCAACCTTACGAGAAATATCACCGTATCGAACATATCTGCCAACACCATTTCCCATAATTGTCAACATTCGTCAAAATCAGCAACTACTCTGCAGTAAGTGGAATGACAAAAGTAGATGTTCATTCCTCAAAAAAAAAAGAGAGAGAGAGTACAAGTTCAGGAAACCTACTCTGGAGGCATGTAACCGAATGTACCAACAACACGCGTTTGCAAAGATGCACCACCAACTTCTGTAAGCTTTGTCAGACCAAAATCTGCAACCTGGAAGATACACGTAAACAACATTACATGAAGGATGGACAGCACAGAACATATAAAAACACTTGAATCATTCCTACCTTTGCACGGGTGTTCTTGTCTATCAAGATGTTTGCGGATTTGATATCCCGATGTATGTACACTGGAACGGTATGCTCATGAATGTACTCAAGACCTCTTGCTGAATCTAGTGCAATCCGAACTCTTTCAGCCCAAGAAAGAGGCTCATAACCTATACAACGGCGTCGAGAGATTAATTTGCCGGAAGCAAGAGAACAGAAAATGGCACATTCGGTATTTTGAGAGGCAGAACATTACCAGTTCCACGCAAATGTTGGCTTAAATTGCCATTCTCGATAAATTCATAGACAAGGAACAAAGAACTCTCTATGCAATAACCAATCAAGCGCACCTGCATGAAATCGAACATTGTAACGAATTAACCTGGCTAAAGATTTACGGGATCGTCCCCATGGAAAATCAATATTTTCATCCCAATAAAAATCAGTGTCGTTTACTTGAGCAAATAAAATATTTACGAACCAGATTCTTATGGTGAACATGTGTCAAAACCTTTAACTCGGCAAGAAACTCTTGAGTAGCCTGCATGTCCATTTTTTTAATGGCGGCTTTCTGGACAGTGCACAACACAAGAGAAGCAAAGCAAGTCATTTCGAATGAAGTACATGTTTGTGGCATGTGGGTTTCTGAAATGCAATTGAATTGAAAAAAAAACACTAACCTCGCCTCTAAGCTCAGCATAATACACAGCACCAAAACCACCTTGTCCTATTTTATGAGTTATGTTGAAGCCTTCTGTAGCATTAAAAAGTTCTTGGTATGTGAACTCCACTGATTTGTCAACTGTAATGTCAGCAGCTAGTGAAGCTACGTCAGCTTGAGTGGTCAATGGTGTCACCTTTTGCATTAATACTGTACTGTCTGGAACAAAAAGAATAATAAATTCAGTAATAGTAGAAGCCACATTCTGTTGTAACACTCAAGGCCTGTTCAAGGAAACACAAAGAAAGGCAAATTGGAAGCATAATTCAAGGTTATCTAACTTTCTCTATCTTCCAAAGTAAACTTATAGATCCCTGACATAGCTCGCTGGTTATACTTGACGTCTCCCAAACTATTACTCATAATCATAACTCATATCATACTCTATTTACTCCACAATATTTCCAGGTTCACAAAGATCAATATAATTGCTCATAAGATAGGCAAGCATGGTTTCAAACTACCCTAATCCACTCATATTTTTGTAGCAGAAAATCGCTGAGATGAACGAATGACAGATATTAACTTGAAGCAGTGAAATTAGGACATGCAAATGCTTGTCTACAAAAGAAATTATAAGACTAACTCTCAGTTGTGGGTTTAGAGATCCATACAGAAATTATTGTTACCTAGCCGGGTAGATTCTCCAGAAGATGGAAGCATGACATCCTGTTTCGCCTTTCTTCGCCTATAAAACAAGAATAACAAGACACCTAAGACTAGTGCAACTACACCAGCCACAGCCCCTCCTGCTATAGCTCCTGCTGAAACTCTTTTTCCTGTTCCAGGGAGTTGAATATGAATAAGCATCATAGTTCTCTCACAATAGCCGACAACATCCATTTTTTGTTCCCCCCAAAAAATAACTTAACGGCGAGCAATAATTAACTCGTGAAAGGACAAAGTCTGCCTTTGTTTTTAACTTTGATTTATGGTTTTTTTAAATAACTTACCACGTGGATAACTATGCCATGTGGTAGGCGTCTGGCTGTACTACGCAAGATGAGGATACTTATCAGCACAACTGCACAAGAAGGAACGTAACATGCAAGGCCAAAGCAAATCAAGTGGATAAAAGTATAAGTTAAAATAACAGCTCTTACCCTGCTGCTGATTTAAGAGGACGGTAACTTCCAGCGCGATCTGGGAAACCAAATAAGCAGAGTAAAATATTTTAGGAAGACGTTATCAATTCTACCCAACATACAAGAATGATGCATCAAGTCATTTTAAGCCTTGACGCCACCACAGTAACAACATGGTATTGGACTATTGGTATCATCAAATGGATTGGATTGTAGGTTTCACTTCAACTTGTTTCTCGAAATTAATAATTACGCAAGGATTATTGGACCTCGGATATTTTTGTTGGGAATATATGTTTGTGGTCCACCCTCTGTTCATCCGCATTTTTCTGTGTGGTGCCCCACACAATTGCACATCTGGGGCTAGGGGGTGGGACTTTCTTACACTGTCTTTTCAAAGAGTCCATCTACACAGATAAGATTCCTAGTTATTAATCTAGTTTCTGGGTAGAGTTCAGATCAAACTATCAAACACGATATAATTTGTCTATTAATGGGTTCTACTATTGAGTCCCACCATGATCATGTATGAATTCCATTAATCACATAGGTCGCTATTAAGGATGTAACCTAATTCATGACCTAGTTTATTTCAATTATCAATGTATCCGGGTAGTCTTTCCAGTATAAATACAAAGTATAATGTATTCAGTTGATAATTGACCAAATTCCTTAAGCTTTTAATACTTAAGTATATTGTAGCAAGTACTAATTTCCATGATAATTAAACATGTAAAGTAATTCCATGAATAAATGTATACATGTGTAATTTCACAAGAGAAGTATGTTTTTGGTCCAGAAATTTACAAGAAGTCGACATCTAGTCGTTCATCTTTTTTCGGTTGACATTTAGTCCCTCATGTCTCAAAACCAGAGACATTTCATCCAAATCCAGAAATATGGGGGAAATCCGCTGAGGTGTCACTAGTTTTTCTCTCTCCTTCTTGCCTTTCTCTCTCATACAACAACGTTTCCTCGAACAGCTTGTGTGCGTTCGCCCTACATACCCATGGCGACGTTGCCGAGCTCGAAGCCGGCCATCCTGCGCTGGTGGTAGCTGCACCACGATCACTTGCCCACGTGGATGAGCTTATTGCAATGCTTTTTTTATTTTATACTGGTCGGTCTATATCCAGTTGTCTTTTCATTCTCCAATTTTTTTGTCCTTGATAAATATCAAATATAAGCAGGGTTTTGATTACCGCTCAAGAAATTCCGTAACCGTGCGGTTACCGCGTTTCTCGCCGCCCCACAAAAACATGGTACTGACCAAAAAATAAATAAAACTTGTTTTTTTTTTAATTTGAACGGTAGCACCAGCTCCGCCTTCGATGAAGGGCACGGAGCACCTACCACTACGACACTAGCGAGTTAACTAATATGAGTATAATATACATATCCATACCTAGCTCAAATAAATTTGAATTCAAAATTCGTTTGAAATTTTCTGAACTATTTTCGATAACCATGCGTTTCTCGCCCCCACCCCCTTTTATTATTTTGGATCCGGTAAAGCCTGCAAGTTTTTTGTGCGGGTGAAATATAAGTTGGAACTACGAACAAGTAGAGTCATAAACAGTTTTTTTTAATCTTGAAAAAGAGGACTCTGATTCCATAGTCCATGTACTAAAACCTCATCACGAATTTTGAACAGAGAACCGGTACGTACCTTTGGCAGGGATATAGACGATGCCGCTCCCGGTGGCACCGTCCATGCCCGGATTATACCTCCTGAGTAGGTCCATCTGTTCCGGCGAGGAGAAGTTATAAGTTGTGGCGACGGAGGCGAGCGTCTCATTGTCCCTGAGCGGGAATGTGCGGAAGAGCCCGTAATCCGTGGAGATCCCGGCGTCGCCGCAGGAGCAGTTGACGGTGACCTGGATGGTGGCGCCGTCGGGGATGCTGTTGGGCGGGTAGGTATTGGTGGCCTGCAGCCAGTCGGCGGTGGTGAGGTTGTTGTAGTTGCTGGCGATGCTGACGTAGGTTTCTCCGGTGGCGACTTTGTAGGGGATGGAGGAGGCGAGGTAGGTGGAGGGCCGTGCGAGGCACTCGCAGGAGAAGTAGACGTCGACGCGGTCCCCGGCGGCCAAGAAGTCGAGATTGGGGTACCCTTGGTTATATTTGCCGAACGTTCGGTAGTTGAAGAAGCCCAAGAGCTGCGCGATGTAGGAGAGGTTCGTGTTGGGCGTGACGTAGTAGGAGCCCAGCGCGAGGTCGCAGCCCTCGCTGCAGCCGTCCCTCGCCGCGGTGGCCGTGTTGGAGGCTAGGAGGGGGAGCAGCAGCAGGAGGAATGGTAAGAGCAGAGACGGCCGAGCTTCCATGACGCGGGGTAGCGCGAAAGCCGAACGTCCCCAGGGGAGGAAGCCCGGCACCATTGGAGAGTCTCTAGTCACGCGCTCACGCGTTGGGAGGCAGCAATGATAGGTGGGCGAGGAGGGTACGTTTACAGCCAGTGGGAGGTGGTGGACTCGGTCGTATATGTTTACAGGAGATTTTTAGTGAACGCATGTGTATAGTGTATTGATTCAACAAAACTAGTAAGGGAGGGTGTCATTTTTGGAAGGTCAAATATGCTGTTTTCTTTTTTCTTTTCAACAAAGGCGGTTCGTCTTACTAGTCAGCAATAAACTTCTGGCTTCTGGGAGGATTCATGCATGCCTCTTACTAGTCAGCAATAAACTTCCAACACGGCACAAGTGTTGGCAGGGACACCATCACTGAACATTGACTTTTGCTGGAATTTATCCTCATAGGTGGCCTGCTAGCCTTCACCTCCCCATCCCCCCCAAAATTGACTTTGGCTGGACTTTTCATGGACTTTATCCACCACTGTCTTCACATGTAGTTTACAATTTACCACCATCTACTATTATCTCTAATATACTAGCTAGATGACTCGTTGCATCTATGAGTGCAATGACCAAATGAAGCTAAGAAGAGAGGCGAACTACATGACAACATATGAATGGTTGTCCCATGGGCTGAGTTCCGGCTTTTGACTCCAACCAAATAATGCCTGTTGTCAAGGTCTGGGCATCCCATCGCTTCATCGATGGACCCACCGACCCAGGGCTTGTTGGTACACTCCGACACACCCGTGAACAGGGTCCTTTTTGGATTACCGAAACCGATTGATCTTGCATTATGCTTTTACACCGCAAAAATATCAAAACAACTTAAAAAACCAAACAAAATAACTACTCTACTCCTACAACTAGCAAACAATGACGAGCAAGAAAGGGCAGCAAAAATATCCTCTTGCTTTTTGCTCACTGAAATAGGAGAGACACTAAACATGACAGAAAAGGCACAAATGGCCAAGTACACTTTGGTGGAAGATTGATGAAACAGAGAGCACTGGTAAAAACTAGTCAGCTCACACCAGTAACGCCACTTCCATCACAGGAAAAGCATAAGTGGTCAATTATATATACCTAGTCGAAGATTAAATAGAGATCATAGGAAAAGCACAAGCGATCAACTACCGGCTAACCAAGACCGAATCCAAGTCAATTATCCAGAACTGCAACCCTAGTTAGTTGGGTCGAAATGCTTGGCTACTTACATCAACTGGACCTTATGTCCAATTCCTTTTTTTTTCAGAGCCACTACCATCGCAGCTCCTACTGTCATCGGAGTAGTTACTGCTTGTTCTACTATCCAGAGTAGAGCTGTCGCTGATCGTATTAAATGTCGTAATGCTTAATCTCCATGCGCCATGAAATGAGTGACTCTTATGCTTTCCATGGTAAAGTGGCAAGCAATATGGAAGAGCCATGTCTCAAGCCTAGGACATCCGTGCCAAGACTATACGATGTGTATAGCTTCCTCTCAACACTGTCATTGGCTTTCACCATTTCACCCAATTGCTCTAAAGTTTCATTTTAAGAGGCATCTTTGACCGCCTTGTGATCTAACTCAGAGATATATAATCTTGCCTAAGACTCTCCTCTTGATGTAAAGAGAATGTTGTGTTTCAGAAGGTAGAGGTCAGGCCATGTATCAGTGGAGAAGTCACCCTAAACTATGTTTCTAGTGCACATACCGTCTTTTCCAGGAACTTTTGCAAGCCATTGTTTTGAAGCTTTTTCTTCCTCCAGAAGATGCAGCGAAACCGCACAATTTCCGCTTGTATCACTATGACAATGAGTTGGAAAAGGAGCAACAGAAGGACATGGTTGTGGTAACATGGTGGACATACATTACCCAGTCGGTAATTATGCATTTCCAAAAAAAATGTCAAAACTTGAATCTCACCTGGATCGCCATGAACAAACTTGGATTTTGCTTTTCTGCAAGTCCACGCAATAGTTTGCCCCTGGAAAAATAAACAGGTGAAATCTTCCATAAGACAATACAACTTTATGATAGAAAAGAAAGCATACTTCTCGTGTAGCATGGCACAGTATTGCAGGTTCCTGTGAAAATATTTTAGGAGCTCAAAGCTTTGCAAATTATTTGATGTCAGGTCTAAGTATACCTTTACCAATTCCCCTTATAGTGTTTCTCTCTTCAGTTAACTTTGTTAGGCAAACCGAATATGCCTGTATATTCGGTTATACTCTACCATATTTGGAGCCTGTATGTTTCCATATAATCAGGCCATTATGGGTAGGATTTGTATTGTGTGAAAACTAGGGTTAAGCGTATGCTCGTTGCAGGGACGCGTGCGTGTTAATATAGGGCCGAAGCCAGGATAGATACAGAGTTAGTTGGGCTCGGATTGATCTACAAGTCAGCTAACAACCTGATAAGATCATATCTCAGAGTCCCAACAGAATACAACACACACGCCTATACACTCATACGAATACAGCACATATACAGTTTATATAATCTATCGTATATGCTTACAATGTTTAACACTCCCCCTCAATCACAACTATCCAAGTTGAGATTGCGTCTAAAGGCCTCAAGCTGCTTAAGAGTAAGAGGCTTAGTAAATCCATCTGCAACTTGATCTCCAGTAGGTATGAACCTAATATTCAACAACTTATCTGCCACCCTTTCGCGAACAAAGTGATAATCTATTTCAATGTGTTTAGTCCTGGCATGAAAAATAGGATTAGCAGACAAATATGTGGCACCTAGATTATCACACCAAAGTGATGTAGCCTTTGGATGATAAACACCCAATTCTGTCAGCAGATTCTGAACCCAAATAATCTCTGCAGTGGCGTTGGCTAGAGCCTTATACTCAGCCTCTGTGCTTGACCTGGAAACAATGGGTTGCTTGCGAGCACACCAAGACACCAAATTACCTCCAAGAAATACCGCAAAGCCTCCTGTTGATCTTCTGTCATCAGGGCAGCCTGCCCAATCTGCATCTGAGAAAGCACTTACTAGCATTGAATCTGACTTACCAAGTTTGAGGCCATGACCCTTGGTTCCTTGAAGATATCGAAGTATCCTCTTAAATGTTGTCCAATGCACACTAGTAGGAGCATGTAAGAACTGACAAACTTTGTTTACTGAATAAGAAATATCCTGCCTAGTCAAAGTCAAGTATTGAAGTGCTCCTACAGTGCTCCTATACCTGGTTACATCCTCTGCCCCAAGTGCTTCTCCATCATACAGAGACAGTTTTTCAGAAGTAGACAGAGGCGTGGATGAAGACTTGCAACCCTTCATGCCTACTTTCTGAAGTATTTCTTGCACATATTTTCCTTGTGACAGCACAATCCCTTCTTTAACAGGTTTTACCTCGATTCCAAGGAAGAAGTGAAGACTTCCAAGATCCTTAAGTGCAAACTCCTTGCCCAAGTCCTTAAGAAGGGCTTCAACAGCACTAGGTGAAGAGCTTGTAACCAAAATATCATCAACATAAATGAGCGTAAAAATGGTAATCCTATGCCGATGATAAAAGAATAATGAGGTGTCCCCCTTTGAAGGAGAGAACCCTAGAGATTGTAACTTTGACGACAGTCGAGAATACCAAGCTCTAGGTGCCTGTTTTAATCCATACATTGTCTTATCAAGTTTGCAAACGCGACGTGGAAACTTTAAGCTTTCATACCCAGGAGATTGTTTCATGAACACTTCCTCTTCCAGAACACCGTGCAAGAACGCGTTCTTTACATCTAGTTGTCGAATGCACCAGTTTCTAGACACTGCAATTGAGAGGATTAATCTGATAGTGGCTTCTTTTGTTGGGGAACGTAGTAATTTCAAAAAAATTCCTACACACACGCAAGATCATGGTGATTGAGGGAGTCCTGGATTAGGGGGTGTTCGGGTAGCCGGACTATACCTTCAGCTGGACTCCTGGACTATGAAGATACAAGATTGAAGACTTCGTCCAGTGTCCGGATGGGACTTTCCTTGGCGTGGAAGGCAAGCTTGGCGATGCGGATATTCAAGATCTCCTACCATTGTAACCGACTCTGTGTAACCCTAACCCTATCCGGTGTCTATATAAACCGGAGGGTTGTAGTCCGTAGGCAATCAACTCCATATACAACAATCATACCATAGGCTAGCTTCTAGGGTTTAGCCTCCTTGATCTCGTGGTAGATCTACTCTTGTACTACCCATATCATCAATATTAATCAAGCAGGAGTAGGGTATTACCTCCATCGAGAGGGCCCGAACCTGGGTAAAACAAAGTGTCCCTTGTCTCCTGTTACCATCCGGCCTAGACGCACAGTTCGGGACCCCCTACCCGAGATCCGCCGATTTTGACACCGACATTGGTGCTTTCATTGAGAGTTCCTTTGTGTCGTCGCCTTTAGGCCCGATGGCTCCTTTGATCATCAACAACGATGCGGTCCAGGGTGAGATTTTTCTCCTCGGACAGATCTTCGTCTTCGGCGGCTTCGCACTGCGGGCCAATTCACTTGGCCACCTGGAGCAGATCGAAAGCTATGCCCCTGGCCATCAAGTCAGGTTTGGAAGCCTAAACTACACGGCAGGCATCCGTGGAGATTTGATCTTCGATGGATTCGAGCCACAGCCAAGCGCGCCGCACTGTCTCGTGGGGCATGATCTAGCTCTGTCGCCGAACAGTACCCTAGAGGCCGCAAACGCACCGGCTCTGACCCTTAATTCGGAGCCAGCTGCGCCAATCGAGGGTGAGCGGTTGGACGTCACCTCGGGGGCTGTAATCTCAAAGGCGATCAAGCCAAACGCCAGCCCCGCACTCTGCACGGCCCGTGACTCCAAGGAGCCGGATTCCTCTCCGAACTCCGAACCCCTCGCGTCCCTACCGATCGAACCCGATTGGGCGCCAATAATGGAGTTCACCGCCGCGGACATCTTTCAGCACTCGCCCTTCGGCGACATCCTGAATTCTCTAAAGTCTCTCTCTTTATCAGGAGAGCCCTGGCCGGATTACGGTCAGCGAGGATGGGATACGGACGATGAAGAAATTCAAAGC